CATCAGAAAGGTTTCTGCAGTCGATGGGAATCGAACTCACGACCGGCAAGCGAATGCGGATTATAATATTGACACTCTGTCCGCACGGCTACCTGGCCCCCCTGGAATCAAGAAGCCACGAGAATAATAATAATAATAATAATAATAATAAATAAATTTATTCACAAATAATAATAGATAGGTACAAGATAATTTTAAATTAAAGTAGTGAACAAATCAGAAACCACTAAAGGGAAACCCTTGAAAGTGGTAATTATCATTATTATAATACTATAATTTATAATCAATATCACTTAGTGAATAACTATATATACTTCAATGGTACCTACCTACATCATGAATGGATTGATTATGAAAAAGAAATATTCATGACTTAGAAGTTATTGTATAAACCATCACACATCCATGATGTAGGTTTGCAGTTATTCTTACTGTCCTACTCATAATTCAGATAGGAAAAATCTACAGCGGCAATATATAACTAATAATAACATTCAAAGATATACATATACATACATTAAACGTGAATAAAAATAATAACTGGATATATAAAAATAAAAAAATATAGGCAGCTCTTGAAGGCGGATAATTCAATTGATATAATTAAAATGATAAATATTGTTACTGTCTATATATTGGTGTATCTGAAGCCTTGGCAACCCACTCATCCATTTTTTCACTTTATAACGGAAGGAGTAAATTGAGTTCATTCTGTGACAATAGGGGGGTAGATAATTATATAATTTGGGGCCTAGGTAGACATAACTTCTTTGTAATGTTGTTTTTTCAGGCCTTGGTACAATGTATGTTCTAGCTCGAGTCAGATATTTATGATTGACTAAAGTAAGATTCGTTTTATATTTATGCTGCCTAGTTACTGTTATCAGAAAGAATAGTTGACGAATATCTTGCATACCGGTTTCAATAAAGAGGTCATTAGTCGGGTAGGTGCGAGGTCTATGGTATATTATTTTTAATATCCATTTCTGAATTCGTTCTAGGCTCAGTATATACTTACTAGCAGCAGCTCCCCAAGCAATGATACCATATCTCAAATGACTTTCGACTAGTGCAAAATAAAGTGTTTTCATCTGATGTTTTGAAAGTATTTCATTCATATGTTTGAATTTGTATAGTGTGCATCGTAACTTTTTTAGCACAAATTCGATATGTTTGTCCCATTTCAAGTGCTCATCGACATAAATTCCTAAATATTTTACATGTGAACAAATAGCAATATTGATTGATATCGAATTATTTGTGATTTCTAAATTCGTGTAGTGAGGTAAGTATTTAGCATAGGATGTGAATGGGATAAAGTGAGTTTTACTGAAGTTTATAGTCAGAAGTCGATTATTGAAGAATTGCGTTATTTTTACGAAATCAGTTTCAGCCTTGGTCTTAAGGGATTCCCAGCTATTGCTGTTATAAATTACAGCTGTATCGTCCGCAAAACTCAGAACATCTCCCTCAATCTCCAACCTAAACAAGTCATTCACGTAAATATTAAATAGCAATGGTCCAATAACTGTACCTTGGGGTACACCATATTTTATTTCAGATGTGTCACTTCTAATGTTATCAATTTGAACCAATTGTTTCCGATTTGTTAAATAACTCTTGAGTAGTTCATACGATGCTCCTCTGAAGCCAATGTTGTCAAGAACCATCAACAATTGCTCGTGGCTCACTGTATCGAATGCCTTAGCAAGATCAATGAATATGCATAATGATGGCTTTTTGGCATCTACATATTCACTGAACTTGGTTGTGAGATATGTAATGGCATCTTCTGTTGATATATTCTCTCTGAAACCATATTGTTTTTCGGACATTAATTTATATTTTTTCAGATAGATGGTCATTCTGTTTTTCAGGAGTTTCTCAAATACCTTCGCGATATTGGAAATCAGTGATATTGGTCGGTAGTTGGAAACTTCAATTTTGGATCCGCTTTTGTATACCGGTTTAATAATGGCAATTTTTAGAGCAGCAGGGACTTTCCCAAGACGAAAGCAACAGTTCACAATATGACTCAGTGGGTTTGCAATAGCATCAGATACGTGTTTGAGTGTTTCTGCTCTAATGGAATCTGGTCCTGGGGCTTTTTTATTTTTCAGGGAACAAATTATCTCTTTAACTTCATTAGGGTCTGTTTCCTCTAGGAAGAAAGAATTTTTTGAATTCGTATAAGACACAGGAATAATTGTGTTATTTTGCATAATTTTATCTGCCAATTTCATGCCAACCGTTGAGAAATATTCATTGAATACATTCACAATGTCTGTATTATTGGTAAACTGATCACCTGTGGTATTTTTGATATTTGTTATTTTCTCTTCTATTTTTTCGCCATTAGTTATCTGCTTAACACATCTCCAGAGTTCCGATGTATTATGTTGGTTCTCCATTATTTTTTGCTGGTAATAATATTTTTTTGCTTCTTTGATGATATCATTCAGTTTATTTCTATATCGTTTGTAGTTCCGTTTATTCTCTTCTGTGGGATGCTTTTTCATTTCTCTGAATAACTCGTTTTTTCTGTTTGTTGAAGTGACTACTGCTGTTGTCATCCATAATTTCTTTTTCCTATATTTCTTTCTTACTCTTACTGTATTCGTGCATTTTTCAATGTGTCCTTTGAGTATTTGTATAAATGTGTTTGTTTTATGATCAATGTCTTCTTCAGAAAACACAGCCGACCAATTCTCTTCAGCTAATTCGCTTGAAAGCTTGTTGTTGTCTAAAAATTGCTTGATATAAATTTCATCATTGTTTTCCTTCATGGGTTCAAGATATCTTATTCTAACAAACTGTAGGCTTTAATTACAAGCTCTGGGCTTATGCTGGAATACTGGTTGTTATCTTTGTGCCGGATAGTTACAGGAATCGAAGCAAATATCTTTATCGAAAATCGTCTCAGGTATTTTTAGGTTAGGCCTGAAAAATTATTTATTAAAATTATTTCAATAAGTTTCCCTGGAGAATCGGAAATTTCTCTCCAATTTTCTAATTTCAGCAATATCGAAAATTTAATGAGGTTAATTATCTTTCTCGACTCATATCAAAATTTCATGAACCACAGCCTGACAGGATACCAAGCACAGCGACACCGGCACTCAGGACAGGAATGCTCAAGGAAAAGAAGAAGAAGAATTGACAACAGTCTATGTCAGCCGTCAGTCAGTAATAATAATCAATTTGACAAATGAAAATATTGAAAATCATTAAATAAGTTATTGGAACTACTCGGAACTGAAAACAAAGACAACAGAGATAAAAATATGAAATATGCAATCACAAAAAACCGTTTATTCCAAAATAAAAATTTCTGTATTCGTTACACGGGTCGGGTGAGTATCATGTATGAAAAACATGAAAAAACAAGAATCAAATGAGACTATATACAAGATGAATACTTATTGTGGAAAATATTATACGAACTTACATGTGCAACACGAAATCACTATACATCAATACTTTACACTGGCTTAGAATGAAATATAAGAGCACTAAGAGACCAGCAAGAGAACCAGGAGATAAGGGAGTGAAGTGCTGAAGAGCAAAGAGCCAAGAGCGAAGAACGCGATTCCTTTGGTCTTCCGTATTTATACTCCTAATCAGCCTCGGTACAAGGACAGCTCAATCCTAGATTCTCAGTGGTTGGAATCCTCAACTATGCCTGCAGGAACTAGCATCCAAACGCACATGTTCTTAAACTCACAGAAATGCGAAAAAAATCATCTTCTACCCTAAATCGGCACATGAACAGAATCTACCATCCTTGCTAAATGCTATACCATCCAATAACAAATAAGTCATTCTGCCGCCTAGTGTTTGATGATAACTCGACCTTCCTGCCGATTGATCGACAGGTGTCCCGTTAGCTCAATTGGCATAGCGTTGGGCATGTATAATCCAGAGGTTGTGAGTTCGACCCTCACACAGGTCGTTGGAGTTTTTCATTTTCCATTTGACATTCGGAATTAGGACTTTCCCTTTTCATCATTGAATTACTACTCGCCCATCTTTACTGTCTTTTCCCGTCGATCCCGTTCTGCCCAACTTGATATTCCTATTAGTGAGTTATTTTCAATCCTCTGGACTCTAGACTAATTATGGTTGGTCTCCAACATGATAATAACATAAACAGTTCACGTTAACTCGTAGCGAAAATAGCAAGAGATACATTTCTTTTCAATAAAATCTAACGACGCCGACATGTATTCCGTTCGATGTCAATGATTCCTGTTAATTCTCATAACTTCATACTACTATACATTTTTAAAAACTTTTCACCATTCATTTTGTCAAATAGTCTAATGAAATTCCACTTGTGATTCAATAATTCATCTCATAAATCTGTCATTCATTCCTGAACTCAACTGAATGGGTTCGTTAAACAATTAATCGACAGACCTATCACGAAATTTCAATCATATGTGGTATCACCGCTGAAAATGGCAAGATGAGCCATGGTGAAGAAATTTCGTGTGATGAAACCACATAAAATATGGAAAAATCAACTCCGCAAACAACAAGAAATACGGAATTATATTTATTATCGTAGATTTTCAGAGAATTGGTTTACTTTTCTGTTTATAGAGCTGCAGCAATATGTTTCCTAGTGTCCGTTCAATTTTTGCCCGAATGCAATTCTTGATTCTATTTATTCGAAGCATACAAATTTCATACAGTTTCATTGCCTTTTTCTAAAATATTTCAGAATCAGGGCTATTTCTCCATCTAGAGCATTTTGTAGCTATTGGGATCAACTTCCGTTTATAGATGAGTATTACAAATATTCACTATGGATGAATAGGGTAGAATTATATCTTGATATGCACTAAATCTCGCTATATTTCAATTTTGCTGATGTGAAACTGTTTTTCATATAGCCCCACACAAGATGAGGTATAAAAATCCATCGTTTTCCAATTCACGTCCACACAGCATCATACAAACGAAAATAGTTGGCACGTGAACAGCGTCTTGAATAAGAGATATTGGCAGACAGTCAGAAAAATTGTCCGAATATGTTATATTTATATTAGTCAGATCAGCTGATTAACATGAACTCGAACCGAAATGTTTGTTTGTAGTTCATTTTTTCACGGAATGAAGTGTTATAGTTTATCTGGTGTTTGAATGAAATGATCTTGACGAAGGAATGGCTACGTCTAAGGAAGTTGAAGGAAAAATATGGCCACAAGTTTTGGCCATTCTCTTCGGTATGTATCATAAAATACAACAGTTTTTCATTTCACTTTATCTAGCTGTTAGTCGAAGCTTTCTTTATGCCTTCTCGATAATTTTAAGTAATAAGTTCATTGTTATTTCATGCACAGAAGAAAAGATTTGTTGCACCATCGAATATATTTTGGCCAATTTCTTTTTGTTAAAAAAAATGTTTGCGAAATCAACAAATTGAATATTCATTCCACAAGGGGGAATTATTCAAAAAGACAAAATATTCTGATTGAAATTACTGTTACTTGAACAAAAGTTCAATTTATTCATCAATATCTAGTTGACATAAAAAAAAATTGTTGATCCCACAATCATGTCATTGTTCATTAGATTGTCAAATTAGATTATTTTTGACAAAGATTACAGGATGTATTCATCAGGGCAGATATTGTATTATAGGAACTAAATAGTCTTTGTTTATCCAATCAAATCTTGCCGTTGATTCGATTGAATTAATTACATCGAACGAATTTTGAGTTGAAAACTGACAAAGAAAGTTTGTTGCAGTAACAAAATATTTTGTCGTGGAACAATATTTTTTCTGTGTACCTTTGTGTCTCAGATTTGAATCATTTTCTCACTTCGAGAATTGATAGAGAAACTGAATATACTGTGAACAATGTTTCTTCCTTTTTCTCGTGAAGGAACTGGTTTTCAATATATTGTTCACTGAAATTTTGGTTTTTGAAATGTATTTATGATTGTTCCCAATTTTCTAATACTGAACCCTCCTGAATTATTAATTGAAGCGCCACTGGTGAACACGCTTATATTCGCACGTTGAGAACAATAGTGTGATAATTCAAAATTCTTCGTTTTGAGAAAATCGACTTTGAAGATTTTCACTTCTTGATGATGATGAATTCGTCTCTGGTGAACCTCATTCACCGCGAAAAGTATATCTAGTTCAAATTATATCATTATGTCATGAGCTTACCTGAGAATTTTCTAGTTATAATATTTTCGAATATTTTTTTCCAATTTCTCAACAAATAGTTTTAAGTGATGTCACGCCCGAAGAGCATCAATTTTTTTGAGATGTTACATTTCCGAAAATTGCCGTATAACATGTATTATAGGTATTTTCATTCATTTGTAGACACTATTATATTCATGACTGGATTTATTAAAGATGTGCTCTGAGTTCCTACCATTTTAGCAAAATTCAAATCGTGCCCTTCGGTTGCTGAACATTCCTCTTTTGGCAGTTTTTCTATGTTCTTTAGTTCCTGAATAGAAACAAACGGGTATTTGCAGAAGAAAAAGGAGGTGAAAAGCATTAAGATTCATTGAAAATTCGCATGAAGTTAAAATGCCATAGTTTGGGAAGAGAAGTGACTGGCACAACTGAGGTGTAGTTTAATTTTCTGAAAAAAGGAAATACCTATAATGAATGAAATTCAAATTTGAAGCTATTCTTGGGAATTCTTTCAAACACCCTTTTTTCCGAATGTTCAATCCGAAGGAATTATAATATATTTTTCGAAATTGGAATTTAAACATGAGGTGGATATTCCATGCAAAGAGAAATATTTAAATTATACATAGATTCGGAAGTTTCGTTCTAGTTTTGTATTTTTCCATTTTATTTTTAAGGGCTATCACCTTGTTGCTATCATTTCAATCTCTCTGCGAAAACTCGTATTATCTACTCCATTCCATTAAGTGAAACGTATGCAATAATGTGATAAATCGAAATATTCCATATTGTTATCGGTACAATTCAAAAATTTGTTGCATTTAATTCGTTATTTCATTTGATGATGAAAATGTAATGACTCCAAAAATTTCAAATTGTGTTCAATCAATAAGGTGACTTTATGACTTGTCACATTATTTATCATAAAAATTTTCTCAAAGTCAGAATACGAGGCGTTATCTGCGAAGTATAGGTGACAATGCAGAAAGTCACTTTCTTGCTCAGCTGTAGTTCCTCCTTCTCCTCTTGTGCAATAACGTGACCAGCGTTGTCACGCAACAGCTATTGGACCTAGAAATGTCACGATAATCTAGAAGTGTAGAGCTCGAAGTTTGCTATTCGACGGTGGTTCTAACTCAAAAATCAACTTTTTTGAGTTGTCACACTATTGTTCTCAACGTGCGAATCAGCTTGTTATGTATGTTTGTATTAACGAAATGTTCGAACGTCATTTTGAACAACTTCAAAACGTCGAATTAAATTAAAACTTCTCACACTCATCAAGGATCGATAACAGTAACATAATTTGATAGTTTTGTTCCGTTATCCTGATCAGGATCTTCACTATGAGCGATTTTCTCGAATGAAATGGTGAATGAGGCTCCGCCACCAGACTTTCAAAGTTCCGCCACCATAATTTCAAATGTCGTTTTTATTTCTCCGAATGTACTGTTATAACATCCAAGGAAGGCAAGAGGCGTTCAAATTACCTACCTACTCTGCAGGGCGGTAGTAACAAAAAATTAAAAACACTAAAACAGACGCTTTGGTAGTTACCTGAAATGAAAAATTTTTAATGGAAATGATACTTTGAGAAACTGAAGCAACAGGCTCTTATAGATAGACAAACTAAGAAAAAAGGGTTTAGAAAATGAAATAATGAAAGCGTGTTGAAATATACAAAACATAGAAACTATGTTGTGTATTTATCCACACGCTTTCATTATCTTATTTTCAAGTCTTTTAGTTTGGCTGTCTATGAAAGCGTGTTTCTTCAATTCTTTAAACTATTATTTGTTAATCAAGCGTTTTCAAGGAGAACTTTATTTGAAATTTTTGCGACAACATGAAATTAAGGAAGATGTTTGAAACAATTGAAGAACAGAAAATAAGGTTACCATACTAGGATAATTCGCCATTGGTGTTAATTGACCAGTGCCGCCCCAATAATTAATTCATAAGGGTTCAATATCAAATGACACCCATCACTATTCGAGGAATCAATATCGAAATTAATACTACCAATAGTTTGTTCATCAAATTTCGAATTGTTAGCTCTTATTTCAACGGAGAAAAAGTTTCAAAACCAAAAATTTTCATGAACGTTGATTATACAGGGTCTCTATCGTAGCATCGTAGTGCCAATTGAAATATTTTATCAATTTGCCGCTTTTCACTCGCGGGCTTTTCACTCAAGGGCATTTCACTCGAGAAGATGGAACTATAACACATTCGGTCGCTTCAATGCCTGTAAACAACATAAACAGAGAGTAGTACTATTTATTTTGAACTACGATGCTACCATCATTTATAGGAATTCTGTATTTTAGATTATTATATCGATAGCCGAAGTTTTTTACTCTCTAACAGTTATAAATCAGTTCAAATGTGTTTCAAGGTTCTTTAGCTCCTGTCAGCAACGGTTTATTCTTCTGTTGGCCATCACCCTTCATACTGAAGATATCCAAAGACAAGGAAAACTATGACATAACTGAGAAACAAGCATCTTTCTTCACGGTCATTCCATCGGTAGCAATGATGATATCTTGTATATTCTTCTCCAAACTGAGTGATATAATTGGAAGAAAGCCTACTTTGTTGCTGATAGCTGTTCCCCACACACTGTCTTGGATACTAATAGCAATGGCGAAAAGTGTGTATGTCTTCTATGCAGCTAGATTATGTTCTGGAATCGCAGATGGGATTTTCTTCGCTACCTTGCCTTCGTATATAGGAGAGATATCTACTCCGAATGTGAGGGGTACTTGGGGGAATGCAATGACCTCATTCTTATACTTCGGCATGTTCCTCATCAATGTCATCGGAAGTTTCTTCAGTGTGAAACAGACAGCTTACATTTGCTTACCAATACCTATAATTTTCTTCTCGTTGTTCATATTCATGCCCGAATCTCCTTACTTTTGCATGATGAAGGGAAGATATGACGATGCCAGAAAATCTTTGAAGAGACTGGGTTTGAAGAGAGACATCGAAGAGGACTTCTTGAAGCTGAAGGCTGATGTGGAGCGTCAAATGTCGGAGTCGGGATCTTGGAAGGATCTTTTCATGGTACACAGTAACAGACGAGCTCTGATTGCAGGAACTTTCTTAAGAGCATCGCAGCAATTCGGTGGAATCTCGGTACTAGTGATATACAATCAATTCATCTTCGAGAAATCTGGAACGAATATCAACAAAGAAGTGTCTTCCATAATATACATGGCACTGTGTTTCTGTTTGAATATTTGTGCTGGGTATACAGTGGACAAACTAGGTAGGAGAATTTCCTACATGTGGTCTGCAGGACTGTGTTCTATAGTATTGCTTTTGGAAGCTGTGTATCTTTATCTGGACCAGAATCATCCTGAACTTGAAGTGGGTGTAGTGAAGTGGATGCCATTACTTGGTATGATCCTGTACATTATTTTCGGTTCATTTGGTTTAGGAATCATTCCAACCCTGATGTTGGGAGAGCTGTTCTCTGCTAGTATTAAGGGAAAAGGCATGACTGTTCTTATGTTCGTCTTTTGCATAACAGTGTTTTCAACAAACAGCATATTCTATGCTTTGAATTCTAAAATCGGGTTGTATGCGCCTTTTTTGTTCTTCGGGTTGAGTAATATGGTGGCAACAGTAGTGGCGTATCATTTGGTTCCAGAGACCAAAGGAAAGACTCTAGAAGAAATACAACAGTTACTGAAGGGGAAAATGAATCATAATAATCTTCAGGGTGATATTAGAATAACTACATATAATTCAACCCCAAGTAGGGTTCGAATGGCAGAAATAGGGAGCATATCATGATTCGGGGCTTTCAATAACTGATTTGAAGTGGTGTAATTTTTCAATTTTCTTCCAATTTTCAAGATGTTATTCTTTGTTGATTAGAGACTTCGGAAATACCTGATGTTTCTGTAATATTCGTTAGGCTGTTTCATGTCGATGTTCTCAATATATTATTTCATTTCAAAATCGCCTTGCATAGGAACAGTAGAAAAACATGTGTATAATTAGTTTCAACTTGAACTGAATCTAAAATTAAATGTTTATCTTCGCCCTTCACTCATATTATAGTGAAGATAACTGGGGGCCTATTCTCGAATGTCGAACGAAATATGTCGTATGCGACATATGTCGATAGAAATTGTCGCACAACGAACAAGTAGTGTGATATTCTCGACTGCTTTCGACTTTAAACTCGCATGAGACAATTTTTGTCGAATAGCATGAACTGGCAACATCGAATTAACGATTCTCGAATGTGTTCTGTGCCAATGTGGTGTGGTTTCTTTGTTGTTATTATGGAGGTAATGTCAATGTTATGTTGAAATGATAATGGCAGTGAATAGAAAAAAGTTATTATGCTTCATCTAAAAAGGGAACACTCAACTCGATGAAAGAAAAATAGAATGAGCCACTTTTATCTGGCAAATACATGCAGAAGACCCATGTCCCTGTACCACAAATGGTTCTAGCACTCAGCACTAGCACTACTAGCAGTGCAATGGACTCTCACTTATTCCTTACCTAAATGTTCTTATATATTTTATGTCCGATAAAAATCTGAACGCATTCCTATATACGTTCTCTCGTGGCCGTTGATGATTTTCTTGATTTTCCAAATATTCAATTTCTATTAATGAAGCTGCCTTTCTCAAAAACAAGTGAAGAAATCAGTCAAATATCCAATCTCGCATTCGACATCAAAATGTCGACTGCTTAAGACCACTCTACAATTTGTCTATCGAACATTTTCGAATGCGTCATTCGAGAATGAGCTCTCACGTTTTTTGTTCGACACTTCGACAATGTACAAATCTCGCATGCTACAAAATATCTCACCATTTGAGAATAGGGTCCCAGCTGATCATATGCATTATGGGTGTGTACTGAAGAAGAACTAGCAAATCATTCTGGATCTACTTTCTGATGATATTAAATTTTATGAAGATGTTAGTGCGTACAGGTTCAATTTTCCAGAACAGTGTGTGTTATACCATCATACTTATAATGGATTGTATGAATAATCAATTAATGAGTTCGTTCTTATACTGACTGACTAGATTAATAATTATAGTTAACGGAAACGAATTATCTCACCAATTATTCTGGATATTCGATTCACATGAAGATTCATTGATCACAATCGACTGTTCCTTTTCGACAATTGTAAGTGCACTTCCAATCTCTTCACACAGTTCGAGCTCAATTTTATTCCAGATTGTCGGACATGTGAATAAATATTTGATGGATCAAGAAGGGGACTCGGAAAACAAAACCATAGCAAACACGTTTTCGATTTTTCTATTCAGCTCGTTGGTTATAAAGCCGATGGAATTGAAAATGATTCAGTGTTCGATGTGCCCCAGTTCCTCCAGTTCGTAAATCTATTCTCGTCTATTTTCGGCAGTATCAGTAGCGTACATACATTAAGAAATAGCACCAATGTCGGCTATATGTAGATACGAAATGTCATATTACCAATAGCTTTGATCAATTTCTGCACATTATGTCACAAGCATATTCAGAATATTCGTCTTGTCATGAATGAGAACTGTTCCATTTGCGCGATTTAATCCCTTTTGAGGGTCCTGAATAACAGGTATATGAGTTTCCGACGGATTCTGGGTTGTGCTTCTGATTTGAGGGCATGGACACCATGGAATTTCCGTTCTTTTTCCAGTTTTCGCCCATAATTCTAAAAGTACGAATCCCACAAAAAATGTCACAATATATTTTTGGAGAACATTAATTTTCGCGTCGACTAACGTTTGAAACAGTGGAATTGGTTCAGTTGTTCAGTCGCAATCACTCGTCGAAAATATTCAATTTTTACCAACTTCGCTAAAAAGTTGAAAATCCTGAACTCCTAACGCCTCTATATAGGTCGAAAATAATAATAATAATAATAATAATAATAATAATAATAATAATAATAATAATAATAATAATAATAATAATAATAATAATAATAATAATAATAATAATAATAATAATAATAATAATAATAATAATAATAATAATAATAATAATAATAATAATAATAATAATAATAATAATAATAATAATAATAATAATAATAATAATAAGGCAGGAAGGCGAATCTCTCAGAGGTTTGTCCATGGTGAGTAGCGACACCACCTTTCCGAGCTGAGGGTGCAAAATCGGACTGGCAGCGAGAGCGCACCTAGAAGGAGAAATTTATTTCTCCTTTTATGTCAGCCGTGGGCCTGCTAGGTTAACCACCTGGCAGGCCCAAATACTCTGGTTCCCATAAACAGAGGACAGGGCCCCCACAACCGACCCCAGCCGGATAGGGGTCAAAGGCAAGGTGGTGGGGCCCAACAGGACGGACAGCCTGATAACGACCGCGACGAAAATGGACGCCTTGAGTGGACAGATGATCTTAGGGACGACCTTCTGCAGTGCTTCGAGAGCAGCGATCCAGGGCGTAGGGGATACATGAGGCGGATGCATGCTCTGTGGATTGAGCAACACCCAGAGCATGGAGCACTCACCGCTCAAAATCTGCGGGATTATGTATCTCACCTACGCGCTAGACACTACGTGAGAGTCCCTTCTCGGCAGGAAGATGGTGTGGAGGAACAACACGCTCCACCCATTCTGCCTCACAACGGGAGAGGGGACCGTGTGCTTCCTGAGGTGAGCGAAATCAGGAACCGCAGGAGCCTACTCAACATTAAGGCCCTGCGGCCCCAAGACCTTGCAAGGATGGATGAATCACTTCGAGGAACACTTCCGGAAGGGGCTGACATCTGGCACATCAACTGTGCCGTGTATGACGTCGTTCGGTCCTCTCTACCGGAGAGACCCATACAAACGGTCTCACCGACGGAGAGGGCCGATCGGCGTGTACAGAAGATGGAAGCCAAGATCCAATCGGCGAGACAACACACTTCCCGTATCCAGTGTGTGATGGATTATGTGAGGGCCAACAGGCCATTCACGTCGAAGGTGCGACGGATGGCCAATACATTGCGTCGCACCCATCACACACTAAATGAGGCAGTGCTATCCACCATCAAACAGCACTGCCTCGAAAGGATACGGATGTTAGTGGCTGCAAAACAGTCACTAAAGAGGCGAGCGAGAGGGCTGGCGGAAAATAAACAATTCCGCGAAAAGCCCTCTCGCTTATTTCAACCGCCTCCAAGTGTGGTTGACAATCCGCCGACTGCTGATCAGGTGGAAACCTTTTGGAAGGGTATTTATGAGGTGAGACATCCATTCAACAGAGATACTCCAGCCCTGGCGCAGTTCGGTATCTTCTGCGAAAGATATCGAGAGCCTGAGCCCGAATTACTGCGCCAACCGATAACCACTGAGGAGGTTCGAGAAGCCCTCAAAGGCTCCAAGAACTTTGCTGCTCCTGGTCCCGACGGGATCAATAACTTTTGGTGGAAAAAGTTACCCTCCACCCACCACCATTTAGCCAGTATATTTAATAGCTGGCTAAATGGGGAGCAGCAAATTCCTGAGTGGTTTATCGAGGGGCGAACCGTGCTTCTCCCTAAGACTGGAGATTTGTCCAATCCAAAGAATTACCGACCAATTACCTGTCTGAATGCATGTTACAAGTTGTTCACGCGCATCTTGTACATGCGAGTACTCCTAGTAGTTGACCCGGTTTACCAACGGATTTTTGAGCAGCGTGGGTCAAAGAGAGGTGTCGCTGGCTGCAAGGAGAACCTGTTGATAGATAGATCTATCACACAGGACTCCGTGCAGTACAAGCGGAATCTTTCTGTGGCCTGGATCGATTACCGAAAGGCATTTGACACAACGTCACATGAGTTACTCGTGTACTTGCTCAAGTGTCTCTCGGTACCCGATTCTATAGTGAGATGCATAGAACAACTGATGCTGGTCTGGAAGACCCGCTTTACTATAACATCAGGTAATGCGAGAGTTCAGACAGAGCCAGTCATCATAAGGAGAGGAGTATTTCAAGGGGACTCCCTTAGCCCACTCCTATTCTGCATCTCACTTCTGCCACTATCCGTTGAGCTCCGCAAAACCAGAGGATACAACTGCGGCCCACCCAGTTACCGGAGGCATAAAGTCACTCACTTATTCTATGTGGATGACCTCAAACTTTATGCCTCTGGTGAGAGGGATATGGACCAATCCCTCAGGGTGGTACAGGAGTACACGCAGGCAATTGGAATGGAATTCGGAATGGACAAATGTGCACTGGTTCATCTCAAGAGAGGACTATGCGAGAACTACGACAAGGACGCGCAACTCGTGGACGGAAGCATCCTACACCACCTGGATGCCGGAGAGACGTACACCTACCTGGGTGTAGAGGAAACTCACATCCAGGAGGCACAACGGGTAAAAGACGCTCTCCGCAGCAAGTATCGGCAGCGGCTCCGACAGATCTGGTCGTCAGAACTGTCGGGGAAGAACAAAGTCGCTGCGACTAACATGCTTGCTGTTCCGATCCTACTTTACTCATTTGGAGTGATAAAGTGGACTCAAGTCGAGCTGCGACAACTTGACGTAAGTACTCGCAAGATGATGCATCTCCATAGGAGTCTGCATCCAAATTCGTCCGTTCCACGGTTATACATACCTAGAGACCAGGGTGGCCGTGGACTCTTGAGCTTGGAGTATCTCCATAACAGAATGGTTCTGAATGGCGCCTGCAAAGTCATCAGGAGTTCGGACCCCCTTCTGCAAATGGTTAAAACCCATGAAGAGGCAGGAGTAGGAGCTTTTCTTTTCAGGGCAGCACGTCGAGCAGCCGATGAATTGTCTCTGATTTTCGACTCCGAGCGCGAGGCTCAGGACTCAGTTACTGAGCTAGAACCCGCTAGGAGAAAAGCCCGCATCAAAGCTGCAGAAGTGAAAAAGCTCCTGCAGCTTCACATGGATA